ACATAAAGAACAAAGCTGCACGACGCAGAACAATTGCAAATCTTTTTCACGCTTGCATGAAGGATCTCAGTGCACCACTCACTGAAGCTGGCCTTGAGGGTGTCATCATGAAGAGTGGGGATGGTATACAACGACGTTGCCATCCTATCCTTGCTGTCTATGTGGGTGACTACCCTGAGCAGATTCTCGTTACCACAGCGTACTCCAGTGACTGTCCACACTGTGAAACCGAGAAAGAAGACCTCGGGATATATCCATGTGCTCGTCCTTCCCGAGATATTGGGGCAGTTCTTGAGGCTGTTCACACCACAACTCCCGATCTCTGGGTCAGGAAATGCCTCGAATGTAATATCAAACCAGTCCAACATCCGTTTTGGGAGGATCTTCCATATGCCAACATCTTTGCTTCCATCACTCCCGATATCCTTCACCAGCTATACCAAGGTGTCATGAAACACCTGATCTCTTGGGTGACTTCGGTTTGTGGTGCAGATGAGATTGATGCTCGTGTTCGACGTCTCCCACCAAACCATACCATGCGTATCTTCCACAAGGGCATATCAACACTTTCTCGTGTGAGCGGGACCGAGCATAAACAAATGTGCTCATTCATTATTGGTGTCGTTACAGATATCCCTCATCTGAGTGCTCATCAGTCAAATTCCTTGCTGGCTGTAACTCGCGCGCTCCTTGATTTCCTCTATCTCTCACGCTATCCTATTCACACAATGGAATCCTTGTCCCAGCTTGATGAAGCACTTGCCAGCTTTCATGCCCATCGTGAAGTCTTTGTTGAACTTGGGGTGCGAAAGGATTTCAATATCCCAAAACTGCATTTCCTTTGTCACTATTCACGCGCTATCACATATTACGGAACCACCGACAACTACAATACAGAAACCGCGGAATGCCTACACATCGACTTTGCAAAAAATGCATACCGTGCTTCTAATCGCAAAGATGAGTATGTTCAAATGACACGTTGGTTGGAGCGTCGCGAAAAGATCATGTATCACACAAACTACATCTCATGGAGGCTTGCCGAAGCATCATTACCCTCGAACCATAACACTACCTCTATCCCGACTTCCATCACTTCTCACATACACCAACGCTATGACTTTCCCGGTGCACAACGGACATTGGTAGACATGACGTGTTCATTTACACAGAAGGTCACTCATTTCCCTACGGTCAAACACGTTCTATTATCCCGACTTGAAGACATCTGTGCTAATGGCTATTGCGCTGTTCGATTCACACATGTGTTGAAGCGTTTCTTTGTTCAGTTTCGTTATCCCGACATTCCACCTAATCAGATCGATGACTGGGCCCAATTTGTCGTTCTTCCATTCACCTCTCTTCCAGTCTGGCACAAGATCAAATATGTTAATATGGAACTTTTCGGAAAGAAAACACTTGACTCATTTTCGGCTCATCCTTCCATTTTGAAACCCTCTGGTCAGTTAGTGAAGTCTTCCCGCTTCGATACTGTTCTTGTCAAGCTTAAAGTTGGAGATAATTGGGCTACAGGTATGAATTCATCATATCACTTTATAGTATATGACTAATCTGAAGTCAGATACGAGAGTAGGCAGAGTACGGGTCGTATTCTCACTCCCTTTCAACAAACTCGACACCTTGATACCCTCCGACATCCCTCCACCACAACATCTTGCATATGTCGAGTGGTTCACAAAGTTTCAGGCCAATCCTGAGCCATCCTCAGGCCTATATTGGATCAAGAGAGAGATGTTGGTGGTGACGGACTATGTGCTGCCTCTATCATTTCCCTTGACAGCATTGTCCGCAGTGTACACCTATTTCCACAATGGGGTGGATCAGTCCCCTCTGAATGGACTAGTGAAACAGTGTTAGATCGTGCCCCTTCATTCTTGCTGAATATCTTCAAAGACGAGCTTACATACTTCAACTTATCATAGAAACTTAATATCGTCTTTGAGTGTATATGCAATTTGGTAGAAATCTTTTGTAAAGTCTTCGATACACTTTGCACCCAAACAGACTCCCACAAGTGTTCCGACATTCATGAAAACTCCTACGTGTGGTAGGCGGGAACTGCGGTTCAAAATATTCTGATCCATTGATCCATTTTATTATAACTTGACAGAAAATCCTGACCCAACGGCAAATGCCGTTCTATACTGCGTTGTAGCATAGCATTCCGGCGCAGTCAAGTTCGGAAATGTCCTTTAACTTTCCTGTCATACCATACCAACCCGCACTCCGACCGAACTTGATGTCAATGATTTCTATGGTCATTATTGACTAACTTTTCTCTAATGGTTTATCATTTTTATTGACGAGCACTAATGACTGATTACTATGTAAACTTAACGAATATTATCGAAACATTAACGGCCATATTCACATTGAATGGAATTTTTCATAATTATTGCCTTCATTACTGGAGGACCGGTTTCCTGATGGCCCGCCACCCCCGAGTCTACCTGAGTCTACCACAATATTCCACACACACCTGGCACCACATTGATCCATGAACCGACGAATGGTTGAAGAGAATTGGAAATTGGTATGGCCAGTGAGAGTTGAGCGGGAGTTATCATATAATCATAACGTTACATATTCATATTCCTAATGAGTTCTGTCTTCTCTCCTGCTCTTCTCTCTAAGTACAAGGTGCGGGCTAGTACATTTTCAATCCGGGAGATGATCGATACCCTGCTTCATCCATCATGGCCCCTCTCCCTTCTTTGTTATCAATCCCTGGTAGTATATCGGTTTAGTACACGCGCCTGTCATTCAACCACAATCTTCAATCATCTATGTGCGCGCGCGAAAGCTGGGTTCGACTCCCAGCCAGGGAGATCTCTAAGAGGTCCTGGATGACGTGTTTTTTTTCAAGAACTCCTTAGAGGAAGGAGTAAAGTTGATTATTGTATAGTAGTTACAATTGAGTATGGAAAGAGAATATTTTCGGGAGGAACGAACACCTTAATGCTCCACCTCCTCCCACGCCCTGCCCACCGTATTCTTCAACTCCTCCTGAGTGACCTTCTTCCCCTTGGTGAAATACCCACTCGCAATCTTCGCATCAATCTCCACCCTCGAATCCGGTGGAATCAAATAACTCGGAATATCATACCTCTTCCGAATCTCAATCCCACTCCCCACGATGGCGTCGTACTTCATGTCGCTCATGCTGACCATGTTGTCGATGCGGGAGATGCCGAGCCAGTGGAGGACGTCGGGCATGAGGGCTTGGAAGCGCATGTCTTTGACGCCGGCGACGAGCTCGGTGGAGCGGAAGTAGGAGGAGGCGGAGTCGCCGGTGCGTTTGCGGAGGTTGTAGACGAGGTATTTGGTGACTTCGCCGAGGGCGCGGCCTTCTTTGCGGAAGTAGACGACGACGCCGACGCCGGGTTCTCCGTGTTCAATGCTAGATGGGTTGGTTGGGGAGGCTTGGCGGGCGGCGGTGATTTGGTCGGGGTGTCGGCCTTGGGCGGTGCGGATGCATTCTTCCATGGCGTAGGTGAGGTAGGGTTTGCATGTGCAGATGTCGGAGCCAAAGACGTCTGAGCCGTTGCATTCGTCGTGCACGCGGACGGTTATCATCCGAGACGGGTCGTGGATATGTGCGGGGTTACCAACTACCGGGAATGAGCAACAAATATAGAACAAGGAGTAGGGAGGGACATACAGATATACACCGTCAACCCCCCAATAGGAGGTAAAAACACATTAATATCCGGCCTGGTGATCAACTCTGGATACATCCCTCCAGTATCCTCGAACAACGCCCGGCGCAACAACGACTCTGCGATGCCAAACCTCTCCGCCACGCCGGGTAAATACCAAATGGGGTCTACCGCGGCCTTGGACACATTCACCTCCACACCAGCATCAATTCCCTCCACCAAACTCCCATCTTCTCTCCTCAACGGCTCGCTCCCCAGTACAATCTTGCCATCAATAACAATCTCACCACGTTTAACCGCCTCGTCAATCTCCTTCAACTTGATATGCGCCTTGGTCACCGATATCGACGGGCGTATATCCAGCCCCAGTCCCCCCTTCTCCTTATCCCTCCCCTCCCTCTCAAAAACACTCGGTACCAAATGTCCCCACGGGTCCATACTCACAATCTTCTTCGCATCGTACCACGCGGGGTTTTCGCGGATCTCCACGGGGGGCTCGGTCATCCCGTATTCGGGTTTGTAGTTGGGGTCGAGGGTGCCCATGGCGATGCTGAGAGCGCGGTAGATGGAGTAGCTCCCGCTGTGGGCACCGAGGGCGTTGCGGAAGGGGAGGGAGGAGGGGAGGCGGGAGCAGATGATAGGTCCTCGGAGGAGAGGGGTGGAAGCACCCCATTTGAGGGGGTAGGGAGTTATGGAGTGTTGGGAGGGGTAGGTTGTTAGGAGGACTCGGCCGGGGTACAGGGATTTCTCACGGGTGGGGTTGGTTGGGGTGGTGGTGTTTCCATTGGGGAGGGTCTTGGCCTCCACAGGAGGAGGTGAGGACGGTGTACTGAGATTATTCAACTACCATCCATGTTAGTACAACAAACCAAAACCAACAACCAATCACAAACCTTGACCTGCATCGCCTGCTGAGTCATCTGCAACGACTCGAGCTGCGCTAGAATCTGACCAAGAACCGCTGTATCCACCTGCGTCGTACTCATCTGTTCTTGTTGTAAACAGAAAGGGAAAGAAAGAAAGAAGAACAAGACCCCGCCGATTTGTTCACCCTTAAGTACCCAATTAACACGCCGCACCTCATCCGCAAGGTCCACACACACTCGGGTTAGCGGTCCGATCCGATCCCACACAGATAACAATTAGGAGTCTTTCCCCGAGTTCCGCGGATAACTACGCATCTACAACCGTGCGTATTTATCAGATACCACCTGCGCTGGGGCGTTGGAAAGAGAACGCGAACATACCCAAAAAAAAACAGAACAAAACAAAAACAAAAAGTCTTTGAACTTTCAAAGAATGGACCACACATCTTGGAAACTCCCTGGCTGGGAGTCGAACCCAGCTTTCGCGCGGATGAGACTAGTGGCAATTGGTGATGACAGGCGCGTGTACTAAACCGATATACTACCAGGGATGTATTCATATCAACGGGTGTTGGGGAGTTCTGGTTGATGCTTGTTCATCAGCCTGGCTGTGACTCCAAGGTAATCTGGAGTGCAAGTGGACGTGATACATGATATATATGGACTATCTCTCGTATTTCAAGTAGTAGGGCTGTAAATGTAAAAAAAAAATTACAGTGACTTGATATCAACACACCAATGTCTATACCTACACATCTTCTGGACCCACCTTCCACAAATATCCACCACTCACTCTGCAGTTGTTGTTTCACCCAAGCCACCATGTTATCACTAAACACCCACCCACACACACATACACACACACATACACACACACATACACACACAATATATATTATACTCAAAACCCAGAAAACATCATCGGCCTCATAAGAATGCCAGGCAAGTTCTCCGACATTAATACATAGATTAAACCAAAGTATTCGCAATGTCATTGATGATATTGGTCTTCATTCCTGTTAAGATCATGTACACCGTGTAACCGTGCCAGAGGTCACAGAGTGTCTAAGTGCGGAAGACGAGTGGGACAGTAGTGAAGTTATTAACAACACCGCTGTTACGCCGTTAGTCCCCGGAGATCGAGAGTATAGAAGGGAGGAGCTGAGTAAGTGAGGTGGGGGAATGGTTGATAGAGCTTTTGGATGCTGTTGATTGTTAATGATTTCAATGTTGGGTGTTTTTGGAAAAGGAAGGAGTGAAGCAGGGCTGGTTCCGCGACTCAGAGGACAGCTTAGAACAGCAAGGGTTTCTAGGGGAGAGAGGGTACCAGAGGCAATCAAACCACCTATGGTTGATTGATAATTTATTGGTGTCAGTGTGCAATTCAGTAAGATTTTTGTTACTGATGAGCAAGAGGAGATACCTCCTCAAACATTGTAACCCCAAGGAAAATAATAAAATTAATATCAGGTTGCCTTCCGCACATCTGACCTTTCAAGAAAAGAATCATTTTTTGGAGTTTCACTCCACTTTGAGTGCTGTGATTTGTTGGAAAACCGCAATGTTCTACTACTCTATTGTCATCGATGACCTGAGGTGGGGGAGTTTCCTGATGGTTCATACAGAGGAGCTGAGAGGAGAGTGGGGGTTTAGACTCAATAGTGGGATGGTGGTGAGGGTTGGGTCATATATAAAAGAGCATCTTGAGAAAAAGATCCCAGAGGAGGAACTCCATCTAGGGGAGTAGCAACTCCGCTTACATAATAGTGATGAAACAGTAGTAGTAGTAGTAGTAGTACTACTACTAGGGACATCGAACCAATGCCTAATATTGAGTCTCACCACTTCCAACACAAGTGATTTGGTGAAATATTTTGTCATGAGTTCAAGCACTACAAAACGCGAAATCAACTTCCTATCCATGGTGTCCTGCATTGTCCTCACCTTATACGCATCAAAAACCAGCCGGAATATAAGGTGTACAAAAAGCAGGGGAAGAATTTGGGCAGACCAACACCATATTGCAAAGAGTCCGGATACATTTCAGTCATCTTCTGAAGCGCGAGGTGCATTGGATGGTTTGACAGAAATCAATTATTTGAAGGTAGATCTTGGCTGGGATGGGGGATAGATATTTGACTTGTTTGTTGGTGGTGTCGAGCGTGTTCTGGAGCTAGGGATTAATTCAGAGTTCGGGGGCAGGTGTGTGTATTGAAAGAAGCATGTTCACTCACGGGTCCATCCGTGGATGATACGAGTGCAGGAGTTTTGTCAAGCCCATGCCTCGGGCCTCCATTCCGCCGCTCAGTATTCTGAAGATCCACCTTTATTGTAATCTTCCCTTATTGTTCTTTCTCGCTACACATACCCTTTCATTCTAGTCTCTCCTTATTGTCTTTTACTTTACCCTGCAGGACTACACGTATACCTCCTAGTAGTTAGTCTGGCGCTCCGCACCGATGCGCCGCTCCGTAGATATAAATACTGCCTGTACGCTACTGTAGTTCCTCAGTTTAATTATCGACTTAGATTCCCTCCTTTACTCTGTGCTCCTCTAAGTCTTCAGGCTCACTGCCTTGAAGTACTCTCTAGACTTATAAGTTCTTTGGTTCGCTCCTCGTCACCGGCATCACCGCCGCTCCGACTTGGCTGCTACTTAGCTCCTCCCTTCTATACTCCTGATCTCCGGGGACTAACGGCGTAACGGCGGTGTTGTTAATAACTTCACTACTGTCCCATTCATCTTCCGCACTTAGACACTCTGTGACCTCTGGCACGGTTACACAGTATACATGATCTTAACAGTAGATCTCGGCTGGGATGGGAGATAGATATTCGACTTGTTTGTTGGTAGTGTCAAGCATGTTCTGGAGCTAGGGATTAATTCAGAGTTCGGGGGAAGGTGTGTGTATTGAAAGAAGCATGTTCACTTACATTTCCATCCGTGGATGATACGAGTGCAGGAGTTTGTCGACATGCACATGGATGCTAAAGGTCAGATTATGTAGTTTGCGAGCGGCTCGTGACAGACACCAGCAATTACATAATATCACGCCCGGGCCGGCGCATTCGGTTTTTTTAACACCAAAAGTGGTCCCGTCACGGACTCAGCTGCCTGGTTCTGCACGTTCACTAGGTACTAGACGTGCAGATGGTAGCTAGCACTACATATATAGGTGCATGGTACATAGTGAGCTGACAAGGTGTTATAGAGTCGATGTTTATGAATATGTCATCGTCATCTCTATCTCCCTAATTACTACAATATTCCTCTCCCTCGGAACCGTAGTCATGGAATTGTCATTGAAGTTGAAGAAGTTAAAGTTGTTGTGCTGCACAAGTGACTCACATTGCATGAAGACATGTTTGGGTGTCTTGAGGGGAATGGCAGGAGTAGTTGGTGGGCTTTTTTCCTGGTTGTGGGTGACTTCAACGTTGTTGTGTTATTATTGACTTCATTACACATGTATTGTACGATGTCCAGGAGTTTCAACTTTTTTTTATTTCTACTATAATTCCTGAGAGTATTTTCCTCCGGGTGCGAAATGTCATTAGTGACTGAGCGTATGACTGTCGACTCTTTGCGCATATGTATTCGACAAAATCCAGCCAATCATTCCTCAGGAAATATGAGCAGAAAACCATATATAGCAGCAGGAGCCAGGATCTGTCGTAGAAAATTCAGCCATCGGCGATATGCAGAGGGGATACTAAACGGATGATTCAGTATAGGGAAAGCCAAAACAGTCAAAAGTAATCAAAATGCTCATGAGTAGCCCAGAGATCACACACTGGGAGATCATTCGAGACGGCACGCGTCAGTTCATAGTATACTATTCCAGTTCATAGCTTTGCGTAGCCCATCAGGAAACACGGAATTTTCTATGTATCACTATATAGACTCAATCATGATTATAGTCTCATATACAAGTCCTCTAACCTGTATCACTATAGTAGCAATAGTAGTTACCACCAAGTGCTATATAGCTTGCATAGCACAGATAGTCTAATGCTTGCCTACTTAGCCTACAAATATATTTATGCAACATAGGGTATAGGTACTACATAGTTCAACCTACAACTACACAAAAAAAACAAAAATTACTCACACTGAAATCAATTACTCCAAGAAAGAAGAAATGCAATAGTATATTTTCACAGCATACAATACGTATGTTACTATTTTCGTACAAGCAGCGGAAATAAGCGGAAACCGAGATAGATATTAGACACATATAAAAGTCTGATTTGTAATAGTGTCAAGTCCATGCCTCGGGGCCCCATTCCGCCGCTCGGTACTCCGAAGATCTACCCTTTATTGTAATCTCATTCTTATTGTTCTTTCTCGCTACACATACCCTTTCATTCTAGTCCCTCCTTATTGTCTTTTACTTTACCCTGCAGGTACTACACGTATAGCTCCTAG